GTGCCTAATTAACGAAAACATTAGTTTGTATTGTGTCTACGTGCATTTGTTTAAGTGCTGCAAGTTGTTGGATTACGATTAGTTTAGTGATTTGTACTTAGTGTGTGCATTTTGGAAAAAAATGGGAAAACGCAGGCATATTCGTCATAGTCCTAGCACGACGAGTACTTCAAGATAGTGATAATAACTATGCTGGTCGCTATAGACGTAGAAGCAGGAGGGCGACCCGACGAGGGCGACATACTCCACTGGTGCAAAGCGTAGTTATAGATGTTACGCGAAAATCTAATGCTATGAATGCTCCGCAAAGTTTTTCCACGCCGGTTCAGGCTGTAGACGTAGACGTTACGCAAAACAGTAGTTCCGTCGATTCACCTTAACCTATTGCTACTCAGGTTCAGGCTGTAGTCGTAGCTGTAGAATCAGTTGACAAGGAACGTATTAAAGTCCTTGAAAATATGGTCATGAAACTTTTGGAAAAGGATCGCACGTCACACTAAGAGCTGACTGCATACCGGAATTTATCCCAGGTAAGCCCAATACAAGTTGTGCTAAGTGATTGGGCAAAATAGAACAATTAGCATCGGTCAATCGTTGGAACGAAGCTACACAAATTTATCACATGCAGACCAGGCTGAAAGGTTTAGCACATACCTTGTATCATAATTTAGATTTTTATGATTACACCTGGGTTGAATGGAAAAATCTTTTAATTAACGCATTTCCTGATCACCAAGATTTTCCATCCACACTTAAGTCGGTAATAGCTAGACACAAGTCCAGTAACGAAAAATGGACAGAATATTATTTTGAGAAAATGCAGTTACTACGCCAATGTGATAAAGCGGGAAAGAATGCTGTTGCTATGCTCATCGATGGCATTCACGACCCTGCCAATCAAGCAGGAGCAAAAGCAGGCCGCTACAGCACCCCTGAGGACTTGTATCGAGAGTATTTGTCCGCTTTACCTGACGAAAAAGCGTTCAAACCAGATAAAAAGTCCTCACATTTTTCATCGAAACATGACCTGGTAGACAAAAGGGTCCACGAAAAGCCTAAATCTAGGCCAAATAAATGTTATAACTGTAACGACTTTGGACATTTTCAACGCAATTGTCCTAAACCTAGAAAGAAATGTACTTTATGTAAAAGACTTGGACATGTAGTAACCGAATGCTACAAAAACAGTACTTCAAAAAAAGTGTTTGTTTGCGATACGACCCTGGACAAACGGTCTGGTTCTCAAAGTTTAGGAGTCATGTATTACATAAATAACCTGTCACTGGATGGATTTATCGACACAGGATGCGAAATTGTCACTATACGGAAAAACGAAGCTAGAAATCTTGGTTTGAAATGGCAACCATGCGGTATTGTGATTAATGGCTACCGGGGTGGTCGAACTAGGGCCTTAGGCGAAATTACGGCTGAGTTACGAGTCGATTTATTTTCAACACAAGTGGACGTAATAATTGTTCCCCAACAAATGCAAAATATGCCCGTTTTGATAGGGCAGACTTTCTTAAAAAAAAACGGGTGCAACGTAAGTTATGAGAAACGGAGAGTTGAGAATTTTTAATTCACAAATGGCGCTGTTGCCAGAACTCGACAACCTCCCAAAATCTTTAAAATTGGTCTCACTGTAAACCAATGGACGACCAAAAAGGGGGTGTATTTATTGAACGTCGACAGTCCAGTAAGCCAGGTGGCGAATACATCATACCCAGTTGTGTCACCTCAGCAAGTTTGGAAGTATTACCTGTCTACAATGCCTCAGAACAACCAATGAGTTTCGACGCGGAACAGTTGATAACGAGAGGAGTTGCGTGTATTCCTGACGTAGGATGTAGCGAAAACGAGGTAAGAATAAATACTTTAAATAAGCAAGTGATATTAAAATTTACTTTAAACGATATTGAGAAACAAGTAAATAATAACATTGGTAAAGATAATGTAAACATTTTGCTTAATACATATCGGGACATTTATTGTTTTTGACTCACAAAAAATAGAAAATAAAAAGTCTTTAATCTATGAATAACAATGCATGAAACTGATGAGGAAGTCTCAGACAGATTGTCATCTTCAAGTGAAGACAGACCCAATAAAAAAATAAAAAAAGCAGATAAAACTAAAAACTGGAGAAAACAGAAATTTGTGGACGATTGGCTTGAAGAGGCCGAATTTAAAGGTTGGCTTCAAAAAGATCCAAAGGATTTTATGTTTTATGGTTATGTTTTTTTTTCCAGGTTTTTAAATTTGTTTTTGAATTATTTTTATGAAATAAAAGTGTTTTAATAAAGTTTTTTTGGGACATTCATTAAATTATTATTATTTTTAAATGGTAGGGAAAATTAAAGGGTTTTTTTTTATTGGTAGGGGAAAAAAGGGAATTTTTATTGGGTTGGTAGGTACTATCTATACAAAATGTTGGCAACACTGGTCGTAGGTGAGCAGGTACTCCTACGAAGGAATGCTTTTACTAACGAGGGTAAAAGTAAGAAACTGCTACCTAAATACAGCGGTCCATACGTTGTGACCAAAGTGCTTAATCACGATAGGTACCTGATAAACGATTTACCGGGCACACGACGAGCACGGAAAAAGTATCAGGGTATATGTCCTGCAGACAAATTAAAGCCATACATTGCTACGCACGATTGTAGTAGTGACTTAAACTCAGGTTCTGACGTAGAACTCGTGAGTGAGTAACAGGACTAAACGAAATTTATGCTGCAGACAAGACGAAGCTCTACACTACGCACGATTGTAGTCAGAACGATTCAGACTTAAATTCTGACGTAGAATTTAAGAATGAATAAGAGCTTAGTTTGTTTTACAAAGAATTCGGGGCCTTAATTGTTTGGGTTCTGACGTGAGAACCTAATAGTGTTGTTTTCTGGGTTTTTGGTAAAGCAAACACACAAATGAACTATGTGACATAAAATTTATTGGGATCCGTTCATGACAAATTTTGGTTAAAAAGAAATGTAATTTAGTATGTAGCAAAAAGGCTATGATTTGTTTATTTTGGTTTAATTTATTTGTTCATGGATGTTGAACCCACAATAAATTACGCAATGTAATCTTTTTAGTAATTTGACATTTTCCACAGGATTAAACGAATATTTTCCGAGGACGAAAAAAGGGGTAGCATGGCCGACTGTAACGAAATTTGAGACGACTCAAGTGCGATCGTGGGAGTCGATCCTGATAAGCGCCGGGCTAGACATTTGTTTGTTTATGCAGGTGTCTTTTATGGATCTATCTATTTCCCTGAGAGGCACAGGCACGTCGAGGAACATTCTTGAAGGCAGTCAGAGTTCACCCTTTACTCGACACACGTTACCCTTTCATTTGTTATATATATTAATCTCTTTATAATTTTAATAGTCAATAGACTTTGATTTAAACAAAAAAATATTATTGTTGTTTCTAACACAAGTAGGAAGATATTCGCAAAAAGAAAAAAAAAGTTATATCAATTCCACGACCCAACCTAATCGGAAAGTATAACTCTTCAATGGGAGGTACCGACTTGATGGACGAAAACACAAGTAGGGAGATATTCGCAAAAAGAAAAAAAAAGTTATATCAATTCCACGACCCAACCTAATCGGAAAGTATAACTCTTCAATGGGAGGTACCGACTTGATGGACGAAAACATAGGTAGGTATCGTATTGGCTTACGTTCAAAAAAATTGTGGTGGAATTTATTTACATGGCTGTTGGACGTCTCAATTCAAAATGCGTGGATTTTGTATAAAAAGACAGGACACCCCGTCACTCAACTTCAATTTAGACGCGAAATTGTAAATACTTACCTTAAAAAATATGGTACTGCGTCAAAAGGACCTGGGAGACCATCTTCTTCTTTAGTTAGTAAACAAGCGGGTAGAATAAGTGACGACATTAGATACCACCGAAATAACCACCTCCTTGTTTACATACCGGACAATAAAAGAAGAAGGTGCGCTATCAGGACAATGTGCAATAAATGTGATGTTGGCATTTGTTTGACATGTAACCTAGGGTTTCATAGCAAGTAATTTTTGTTTATTTAGGATTTATCTTACTATTAGGTAGTGCTAAAGCCTAGTGTTAAATATATGTAACACTCTTTTTTACAAGTAAGTAATAAAAATCTTTAAAAAAAGTTTTACTGGCTTTATTATAACTCAAAACAGGTAAAACTTCTTTCGCAAAATTTAGTTTTACAAAAGGAAAATAAACATATTGAATTTAGTAGAGCCGTTGAATTTCTCCAAGTTTTATTTTACACTGGACCGATAATTTTATCCAAAGTTCTATCCAAATAAATGTACGAAATTTTTTTATGTTTACATATTGGATGTTATTTGTTAGCTATTCCTAAAGCCCTCGTTTCATCGAAAGCGGTACCGACAAATTGCGACCGCAATAATGCGACGAATGATGTCATAGAAAACTGTACCATGCACATCATCAGCAGTGGTTTTTAAGAAAGCGTTGGTGGTCACCGCAACGCAGTGATGCCAGGTCTGGGGATTTTCCCCCAGAAATTCAAAAGTATTTGGGGACTGGGGAAAACTTTTTATAAACATCCTTAATCTCGAGATAATTAAAAATATATAATTATTTAATAATATAATTTTAATTACAAATTTTTAAACATTAAATATCATAATAGAAGTTACACAAAAGCCTCGCGCCAGCCGCCAGCGGCCAGCGTATAATACGCTGCGTTTTTAGGTGATGAGCAAGTAAAATCTTCCTCTCAAAGATGGCACTATATTTTATTTAAAGAAATCTAAAACGCTGCCTGCTATAGTTGTAAATTTCTTTAAATAAATCGTTGAGGATTCTCGAACAACAATTGTATACAATTATGTAATTCCCTTATAGGTATATATCATAAAAAGAAATAGTGTGGTTCTTAAAAAGTGGGCAATAAAAAAGTATAAGAAGTAGTAGCAGTAGTGTCACAGCAGGTTTAGACTTATCTTTTAGTTTCTTAGTTATGGAATCATCTGAGGACGAAAATAACACGGATAATGAAAAAAATGCAAGTACATCAAACAAAAACACAATAAAGCAAAAAAAGTCCTATCAACATAAGTATAGATCTGAATGGGAGAAAATGGATGACTTCAAAAATTGGATACACCCTAGTAGAAAGGGAATAACTTTTTTTATTGCAATGTGTGTAAAGAAGATTATATTGGAGGAATCTCGGCTGTTAAAAAGCATGCTATGTCTCAGAAACATTTAAAAACTTGCAAAGTTCTTCAACAACCTAAGTTAAATAACATGACTAACATTTCTTCTACAAAAAAAATTAAAAAAAGCAGAAATACAGCTAGGTATGTTTATTGCAGAACATAATTTACCATTTAATTTAGCGGATAGTTTAGTAGATCTTATTAAAAACCTTTCTTTAAACCTAGATAAAAATGAAATAAAAAATATAACATGTAATCGGACAAAGTGCACTAAAATTGTTACTAATGTTATTGGTCAAAGGGACTTTGAAAATGTATTAGACAACATTAAAAACAAGCCATTTTCAATTTTATTGGATGAATCTACTGACATTGCCTGTAAAAAAAACTTGGCCCTTGTTGAAAGGTACATTTATAATAATACCATAACAGATCAGTTTTTAAATGGCACAGCTTATGGTCTGTACACTACACTGGTAGTTTTTTTTTAAAGAATAATGTACCATATAAAGATAATTTATTGGGTTTTGCAGCTGATGGCTGTAACACTATGATGGGAGGGCATCATTCTCTACAAAGCTTACTAAAACAAGATATTCCTGATTTATTTGTAATTAAATGTGTATGTCATTCCCTTGCACTAGTTGCTTATTATGCATGCAAAAAACTGCCTGACACCATTGAATATTTAATTAGAGACATGTATTCATATTTACAGAGCTCAAAAAGACTAAAACAATATGAACAACTTCAACAATTCTTAAATATTAAACCACATAAAATTTTGCAATTAAGCCAAACTCGTTGGTTATCACTAAATAATGTTATCAATCGAGTTCTAGAGCAGTTTAATGCATTAAAATTATTTTTCCAATCTCAGTGGTTGGAAGAACATGACAAGAAAGCTGAAGAAATTTTAGGCTTTTTAAATAATCCTGTAAGTAAATTATATTTACAGTTTTTGCAATATGTTTTACCTTTAATTGTAAACCTAAATCTAGAATTTCAAAGCGAGCAACCAAAAATTTATACACTCTATGAAAAAATGGCAACAGTTTACAAGACCTTTTTAGAATTCTATTTAAAACCAGAATACATTAAAAGCTCACCATTAGAAAATATTCAGTATAGAAATCCCGAGCATTTTATGGATATTGATAGTATTTATTTAGGGGCAGAAGTTTGTTTTGTCAACTGATAGCAATAATTCTCTGAGTAAACATGAGATTCAAACCTTCAAATTAAAATGTCTTGATTTTTCTATTGAGTGTTGCCACCAAATATACAAAAGATTTCCTTTTAATAAAAATCAAATGCAGAGCTTAAAACTGTTGTCATTTTTAGATCCAAAAAATATTCCAAAAATACAAAGCATTGTTGTAGCGGCTTCACGATTTAAGAAATTTACGAATAATTTAAATTTAAACGATTTGGATAGGGAATATAGAATACTAAGTAGGTAATACAGAAAGCTTAAATTTTAAAGAAGACTTTAAACCGTTTTGGGTTAAGGTATTTTCTTTAAAAAATAATGATAATACTGAAGGTTTTCCAACTTTATCAATTTTAGTAAAAAATATTTTATGTCTCCCTCACAGTAGTGCTGCGGTAGAGCGTATTTTTAGCGCTATTAATTCAAATAAAACGAAAGTCCGAAACAGATAATGTAATAACACTCTAGAAGGCATTCTGCATTCTAAAAACATTTTAAAGGCTCAAAATAAAACGTCTATTAATTTTGATATTGATATTGAAATGGTGAGAAAACATGTATAAATATTAGTTTTTTTTTGTATCTATAGGTAATAATAATTTTTGTATAGATAAAAAAGTATACTAATAAAGTATGTATTTTAACAAATTAGTTTTCATTTTAAAAATCTGGGGATATCTGTTAAAAATCTGGCAACTTTTTAAATAAATTATGGGGAAAATAAATTTAAGGACCTGGCAACACTGCCGCAACGCAATACCGGTGCCGGCATAGTGAATGCGGTAGCCATTGCGGCGAGAAACAGTTCGTCAACGGTTTATTACGGTGGTGATGTGTTGTGATTTTGTTTGTTTTTATATTATAAAACTGATAAAATAGGTATTAATGATTTATATCACAAAGTTTACGTTATGTAATGGTGTTTTCTTGTAGCGTAATGTGTTCTGGAATAAAACACACTGAATGGACATGAGCAGGACGAAATATTGATAGATTTTGTTAGAAGTCATGAATGTTTGTATACAGTGCGGACGTTAAAAGTCCCCCCCCCTGTTATCTTTTGAACGAAAAAAGGTATCGACATCGGACAAAAACCATTGTCAAGGAAAATAAGAATACTACTTTTTGACGTCAAATTGATAGGTGTCCATTTAAGGAGCGCCAAGAGGGCAGTATCAACTTAAAAATTTCAAAGGGAAAGGGGGGGCTTGTGATACCTCATTTGAAAGGTATTTCGATTCTCTATTCGATGCTATTTAAATTTTTAAAATCTGTTACCATAAAAAATATTTATTTATAATAGTTTACATTGCTGTGATTGATTTAGTTTTCTCGGTAATGCTGTTCCTGCCATGCTACAGCACCGGGTCCATTAAAAATACGTTTTAAATGTCTCACGAATTCGGTCTGCTATATTTGGCCCACGTACGTTGTTGTGAATAAGTGGAAGTAAATTTTCTGTAGGTAGTGAGTATTTCTCTGTACTATTAGTCGATGTCGGAAGTATATTTGCTTCTCGCAGAAGATTGTATAAACTACAGGCACACATTATTAGTTTATCCGTGGTTTCCGGATGCGTAGCAATTGGCTGAAAAAATATTCGAAAAGAATGCCAAAGGTGTTTTCAGTTGTCCTGCGAGCTTGGGAAATTCCGTAATTATAGATTGCTTTAGTTTTATCAGCCACTGATATGGTTTCATAAGATGTTCATGAAGAGCGAATGCCTCATCCCTGAGAATAACATGGGGTACCAGGATATTCATGCCAGGCAGTGGTTGTGGCGGTGGAATACTAAATTCTTTTTTCAGAATCTTTTGTCCAAAACTACTTTTTAAATATATGCCTAAAATGAAGCAGCAATATTTAAGATATTCAAAAAGCCGGAGTTACCAAACGTAAATGTAAAACTACATCCAAACCTGCTGATGAACGTTTGAAGATATTAAAACAAATAGCTGAAAGGCAAGAACAAAAAAATATGGAAAAGCAAGAAGAAAATGATTTATTCTTTGGATCCATGGCAAAAATAACTAAAAAGCTGCCAAAAGTCGTTCAGGCTAGGCTCCGAATGGAAATTTAGTAGGGAATACAGAGATTGAACATCTATCATCATTTCCAAGTGCTGACTATGAGCGTGGACCATCATCAGCAGGTAGCTCCACATCATACAGTACATTTGTTTCCGAGGATTATGTAACTCCAATGGGAGCATCCGCTACTGTAATGGCGGAGTCTAGCCAAGGGTAATTTATAAATTTGTAAATTTATCACACACATGTAAACATTTCTTGAAATAAAAGTATATATAAGACATACGTGTTACTTTTGTGTTTGATTTAGTTAGTATTAATGGAAATACATACATACCTTAGAAGCAGGCATAATTTTTGCTCAGGAGTCAATGGATTTTGAACACAGATCTTCTATTATATATCCTAAGACGTAATCAAATAAGACCGGCGTCAATCGAAAATATTCCCTGAACTTATTTTTGTTAGTATAAAGATGGCGACAAATCAAAATTTGGTATGCACCCTCTGCAGTTTTTTTTTTAAATGTCAGATTTACTTCTTCTATGAATCTCTACCTCTGATTCCTCGCCATTTAGCACTACCAAAAGAGCAACATCGAGATCCTCCATGTCGCTTGTTTTAACGCAAAACGGTACTGGCGACGCTTTCTGAGTTACACATTTAATTGCCGCAATTAAGAACCCCGATTTTCCCACCGGAATCTGACGTCATTCGTCGCATTATTGCGGTCGCAATTTGTCGGTACCGCTTTCGAGGAAATCAGGGCTTAATGTCAACAATACAATGGATCAGGCCGAAGTACTACTAACATTTTCTTTTATTGAACCTTTAAAATTAATTTTTAATTTTATTATTAAAACATGTGTATATCCTAATGTATGGAAAATGTCGAAACTCTGTCCTGTATACAAAAAAGGTGATAGAAATATAGCAATAATTCATAATTTCTCTAAGATTTTTGAGATTCTTATGCATAAGTTTTTATATTGCCATGTCGAAAATCAGATTACTGTAAGTCAGCATGGTTTTGTAAAAAATAGATCGACAATTACTAATTTAATGTGCATTACGGACTTTATTGCAAACAATCTCGATAAAAACTTACAGGTAGATGTAATATATACATACTTTTCCAAAGCATTTGATAGACTTGATCATGACATTCTTTTACATAAGCTATTTAAATTTGGACTCTCGCCACTTTTAGTTGAACTTTTTTCCTCTTGTTTATTAAACCGCAAACTATATGTTGAATGTCATGGTGCAAAGTCTATCGAAATAACTGCATCTTCGGGAGTACCTCAAGGATCAATACTCGGACCTCTATTGTTTGTCATATTTATCAATGACATTGTAGACGGCGTCAGTCCTGACGTTTTATTGTATGCTGATGATGCTAAAATTGTTTCATGCATCACAGGTATAGATGACTGTTTACGCCTTCAACACAAGCTGGATAAAATTAATAACTGGTGTGATGAAAATAACCTTCCTCTAAATGTTGACAAATGTAATGTAGATTCCTATAATAGGAAAAAATATCCTCTTAGATTTGATGAACTCCCGAATACTAAAACGAAGTGAACACATATACATCTTGGGGTCACATATGACAGCAAATTAAACTTTAATTTGCATGTGGAAATTATTATTAATGCGAGTAACAAAAATTTGGGATTCATTGTCAGAAATTCCTTGGATTTTCATGATGTTTTCTCATTAAGTCTACTTTACAACACTTTTGTTAAATCTAAATTAGAATATGCCAGTGTATTATGAAATCCTTCATATGCAACACATTCCGATTCGCTTGAACACATACAGCGTCGCTTTCTCAAAATTCTTAGTTTTAAAATTGATCGATTCTACCCACCAATCGGTTTTCCCCAAAAAATGTTACTCGAGAGGTTTAATTTTGAAAGCTTGGAGGAACGCAGAATCAAAGCATCCTTAGTATTTTTGTTTAAACTTCTAAATAATAGTATAGACTGCCCTTATCTCTTAAGTAAACTATATTTTAGAGTTCCTCGTATTACATCTAGAAATAATTTTACATTTTACCTGCCATCACCCCTAAAACAAACATATTAAATTTTTTACCCCTATACTTCATGTGTGGAAAGTACAATTATTTGCAAGACAGATTTGATATTTTTTCATGTAATGTTTAAATAATAAGGAGTATTACTATAAATACCTAATTTATTTATCTTTCCTTATAATATTATTGTGTTTTTGTTTTGCCATATATTTGATATTTAAGGTGTTTTTTTTGTGTCTCAACTTTGTTATTTATATTTTATATGAATGTATATGTATAAGGCTAAATATGTAATACTTGTTTAAATTTTCTCATCTTGTCATTGGTCCAAGGACTGTAAGATGATGTATTAAATAAATAAATAAATAAAAATATTTTGTTAAAACATTCGCAAGATTATACGGACCAGAATGTATTTTTCACAATATTCACAATGTACTACATTTAGCAGAGGATGTCACAAATTTTAATCCATTGGACAACTTCAGCGCTTTCTCCTTTGAGAACTACATGAAGACTCTAAAAAGATTATTACGGAAAAATAATGAACCTCTTTCTCGTTTTGCCGAAATTGACAATGTGGTGAAAATTACTTCCGATAATTATCGAATTAATTCGACTGCTGATCCGTCCAAGGAACATAATGATGGCCCTCTACTGGCAGACACCTTTCCACCGCAATATTTGCAATTCAAAAAAAGGTCTCTAGTGCTTAGCTTGAAGCATCCAAACAATATTTGTAAATTAAGTAATGGACACGTAATAATTATTAAAAATATTGCTACAACTACAAACGGTCTTGTTGTTATTGGACAGAAATTGATTGAAATGGAGGACTTTTATGTAGAACCCTTTAAATCATCGCTTCTTGGTATATATAAAACAAATATGGATATTAATATGGTGTTGGAGTTTTTGCCGTTAAAGGATGTACAAGCAAAATATGTACCCTTACGGTTGGATAACAGTTTCTACATCCTTTATTACATTCTGACGTACTTTAAATATTGTTATATTATTATTTGCATACTTCTCTTTTGTTATTGTAAGTAAAAAAGATTTTTATATATTTCTTTCAGTACATTATTTTATTTGCAGATAACATTAAACACGTGGGTAGTAGTAAAATTCCCAGATGAAGATTCGGTAGAGGCAGTTCCGGAAAACTGGATAGAAATAGATGGTGATTTGTGTTTATGTTACTGGCCGCCATATGGTGGAGATAAACTAAGGAAATCTATAATCATGTGTGAGAATCCCCAGGAAAACTGGAAAACTAATAAAGCAGTAGTTTTAAGCTTTAGGTAATATAAAAGATGATTTTTTAATCTAAACTCATTAATCCAATCATTGGATTCCAATGTTAGTATTAAATATAAATTTAGTTAGTACTAAATATAAATTTATTTCAGACGATTACAATTTAGCAAAAGAGAAGACTGTCCGGGTTCAAAATACGTCAGATATAGAAAGCAAAAATAAATAACCCCGTCAAAAGTACCTTCCTCATTTTATGAATGGTGCACCACCTGGCAGTTTAAGTCTCGCAAGCAAATCTGGATGGATGACTACATTTTTGTTTGTGAATGTATTAAAACATATCCAACAAAACACAAAGTGTTCAGAAGAGAGTCCTATATTATTGCTTTTAGATAATCATGAAACGCATATAAGTCTTGAAGGCATCAACTTTTGTCGAGAAAATGGGATCGTGGTGCTTTCATTCCCGCCTCATACTTCCCACCGATTGCAGCCCCTTGACGTGGGTGTGTTCGGACCTTTTAAATCATATTGTTCCGTCTCCTTTAATGACTTCAGGGTGAACAATCCCAACCAAAAAATATCAATTTTAAATCTAGCATGTTTAATTGAAAAACCTTTCTTAAAGGCCTTTACTCCAGAAAATATTCAAAAGTCTTTTAAAACCCCTGGTATTTTTCCTTTTAACTCATTGTCATTTTCTGATCAAGATTTTATTCCTCAAGACCCTGTAACAGAACCTAACTTTGCAAGACCTGAGTTTCAAAACAACCAACATGAGACTGAACAAACGATGCCTAGCACTTTCCATAAACTAACACCAGAATCGATACGACCTCATCCAAAAATTGTTGTTAAAGAAAATGTTAGAAGGACACTCTCGTATTTATACTGACACTCCTGAAAAGGAACGATTAGAAGAAATGGCAAGACTAAAATTAGAAAAGAATAAACCAAGCGCAGCTAAAAAGAGGATGGTGAACAAAAAAGTATTTGAAGATTTTGAACAGCCAGTAAGGGTGAACGTTTTTAAGCCAAAGAAGAAAATAGCGCGTCCGCCAAGCGAATCTTCCTCATCCGACATTACATTTGAAGGATGGTCAAGTAATGAAGCCACTGATAATAGTGGAGATGAAAGTGATGATGATGTTGAAAATAAATTATTAAAGGTGGACGACTATGTATTAGTTCGTTTCTGTACCAAGACAACTTTAGTCTATTATGTTGGACGAATACAAGCAATAAATGAAGAAGACAGATTTTTTATTTATTATTTAGTCAGACAACTCGCCCAAGTAACTCTTTGTCATTTGTTAATGATGTTAACATTGAAGCAGAATCACTGGAGGACGTCATGGACTTACTGACCAACATGAATTTGGAAATTAAGTGAGTTGTTTTTTAATATCAGTAAGGCATTGCTCAAAGATTAATTGTTTTATTCGTTATTTCCCGGAATTTGGGATATAAATAAAATAAAATTAAATAAATATAGTGTTTTACAAATGTTAACCCTTATGGGTTGAAATAGCAAGACTATTTTTAAATAAAAAAAATCCAACATAAATTGACAAAGTTTGTGTACAGTAATCTTTTTTTAGTAAATGGTAATACAATAGTGATTAAATTTACTAATAAATATGATTTATTACATTTTAGGAATTTAAAAACCCAAAATGAAAAAATCATAGCACAAAATAATGACCTGAAGGAAAGTTTCAATGTGCTTACTAAAGATATAGCAGGAGACAAAAGATTTAATGAAAGTTTTAACCAACCTCTGGAAGGATTCCCGTTATCAACTCTTGAAGAATTTGAGAAAATTGAAGAGGAAAATGTGGAAATCCGTAAAATGATTGTGAGTATATATATATATATATATACAGGGTGTTTCATAATATATGCGCAGGACTTCAGGATGTGATAGCTCATCCAAAAAGATGAAAAAAGTCGCTATTAACTTACCCTCTTAAATGCACAATTTTCGAGATACAGGGTGTTGAAATTTTAGAAAAAAAATCGTTTTTTTCGATTATCTCCGGAACCGTTTATCGTACAAAAAAACAGATTTTGTAAGCATTTTCTACTCAAAATAAGCTATGTTTTGTGCCAGAAAAATTTTTTTTACTCATAATTAGTGGAGATTTTGAAGGGGTAGATTGTGTTTTTCTCCTCAACTTCTACGCCCTGAAAAATGTACGGTTTTGAGAGGCCTATTCGAACCGCCAATGTTTTCTACACAAAAAAGGTACTCTTGGTCATAAGCTCTAAAGTTGACCGTTTTCGAGAAAAATCAACTTTTATATTTAAAAACATGTTCAATTTTTTGAAAAAAAAATTTATTACTAATTAAACAAAATTTATTTTAACGGTAGAAAAAGTAACAAAACCAAACGATAATTGCAAAATTAAAAAAAAAATAAAAAATGATTTTTTACACAAATGCTGAAATGTTCGAAATGCGTTACCTTTACGGTTTGGAGAATTTAGCAAAGACAACTTTTGAATCATTTTTTATTTTGCAATTATGGTTTGGTTTTGATACTTGTTCTAACGTTAAAATAAATTTTGTTTAATTAGTAAAAAAAAAATTATTTTTTTTTAAATTGACCATGTTTTTAAACATAAAAGTTGGTTTTTCTCGAAAACGATCAACTTTAGAGCTTATGACCAAGAGTACCTTTTTTGTGTAGAAAACATTGGCGGTTCGAATAGGCCTCTCAAAACCGTACATTTTTCAGGGGCGTAGAAGTTGAGGAGAAAAACACCCGCTACCCCTTCAAAATATCTACCAATAATGGGTAAAAAAAATTTTTTTCTGGCACAAAACATAGCTTATTTTGAGTAGAAAATGCTTACAAAAGCTGTTTTTTGTACGATAAACGGTTCCGGAGATATTCGAAAAAAACGATTTTTTTTCTAAAATTTCAACACCCTGTATCTCGAAAATTGTGCATTTTAGAGGGTAAGTTAATAGCGACTTTTTTCATCTTTTTGGATGAGCTATCACATCCTGAAGTCCTGCGCATATATTATGAAACACCCTGTATATATGTATGTTGCATGAGAGATTTATTAACATTGTATATGTATCAGTTACATACATTTTAAACTCAAATAACTATTTCATTTTATTGTAGTTTAAGCACTGTTTAAGTCTTGGGGGCTTAACAGTAAGAGAATTTATCAGTTGCGCAATGAAACAGATAGTCACTAACGAATTCGTCAAATCAAATATTACATGGGATGGTTCCAAGGGAAAAATTGAATTTCGAAGAACAAAAATTTGCAATACCCTAGATCGTAAGTGCCTACTACTTTTTTAAATAAAATAATCAATGTTATTTTTAATTTTAGTTGCTGCAAAAAGGACTACATCGTTTGAAGGACCCTCAAATAAAGGGTCCTTTAAATATGATTTCAAAGAGGTTATTAGGGCTACAAAACAACGGCAAAAAAATGCCGAAAAACAAACAAGTAATAAATCGAACTCTGGCAAAATTTTGCCACATTTAGGAATAAATGAACCCGAATTTCCTGACAGTGACCGTAATAGTGGATTATCAGACTATGAAAGTGATTTTGATTAGGGGGATTTTTTTTTATTTTACTTTGGTTTTTTGAAAATTTGCATTTTTATATACATTTTAATTTTTATTTTCTTTAGAATTTTTTATTTTACTTTTCTAATCTTTTGTATTATCTGACTATGAAAGTGATTTTGATTAGAATATATTCTAATCAAAATCACTTATAAGAATTAGTTTTTATTTACTTTTCAGATTTTGGGATTTTTTTTTATTTTACTTTGGTTTTTAAAATTTGCATTTTTATATACATTTTAATTTTTATTTTCTTTAGAATTTTTTATTTTACTTTCCTAATTTTTTGTATTATTATTATTACTTTTGTGATTTTTGACAGTAAGATTATTTATTTTACTTTTGTAGTTTTTAAAAATATTGATCAACCTGTCCATTTTTATTTACTTTAAGTTTTGTAATTTTACTTTTGTGATTTTTGAAAGTACCTATTTTTAAAATCACTTGATCAATTAATCAACTTGTGCATTTTTATTTACTTAAAAACTTTGTTATTTTTAAAAACAGCTCTTTCTGTTTAAGATTTTTCATTACTTTAGGATTCTATTATTTTAATTGGATTTTTTTTAAGTATTTTCAAATCACTTGATAAATTGATCAACATGTGAATTTTTAATTTGAGATTTTTATTTACTTTTTATTTAAGATTTTGTGATTTTTAAAAGTATTTTAAAATCACTTAATTAATTAATCAACATGTGGATTTTGATTTACTTCAATATTTTTATTTGCTTTAAGATTTTGTGATTTTACTTTTGTGATTGTTTAGTATTTATAAAATCAATTTATTTATTGATCATGTGCTTTTTTATTTATTTTAAGATTTTTTTATTTTACGTTTGTGATATTTATTTACTTTTTTAAAGTGATTTTGATTAAAATTTGCATTTTTATTTACTTTTTCCTTTTACTTGAATATATATATATATATATATATATATATATATATATATATACAGGTTTAAGGCAAAACGGCACAAACGCCAAAATTATAAAAAATTTGTTACAGCTTTACCTAGAGAATTTAATTCTCTATCAACCTGTACTTCTAACAATTTTTTGAAAAATTTGGCGCTTGTGCCATTTTGCATTAAACCCGTCGTTATATATGCATATCCTTTTGAAATATACAACTTTTTTTTATTCATTCATGTGCGCTTTAAATGCGTGCGCTGCATATGAAACGCATATGTGAGCGCATCTGTGTAGTAATCTGCGCGCACGCGTGCCGTTTAAAGACGCACGCGTGCACTCACTGTGCGCGCATCGTGACTACATTTTGCTATCTGGGAAGTTTTTCGAAACGTGCAACTGATAAATTTTTAGCTTATCGTCTTAACTTTCAAATGCCGAGTGGTATTTTGTAAAATTTCAAAATGGCGGTGTCAATATAGCGACTGCAAGCAATATACATCACTTTAAAAAAACCGTATTTCGTAGTTTACATTAACTAACAGCGTTATAAAATTAAAAATTAAATTTGATTATATGCACTAATCTATTATCAGTGATTCTATGTTTTTTTTTACCGCTGATTACACAATGGTTCACCCCTAACCTCACAAAAAACTTAAAAAGCAGTTTTGTGTAATTTACAGCCCCTAAATGCATTTTTGATAGATATTTTTGCATTTGTTTTTTGTATTTCTCATTGCCTAATATAAATATGGCCTTACCTCAGAGTCGAAATAAAACTGTACGTTCCTAACCTAAAAGAACTCTCAAAAAATGTATTTTTACCTTCTTTACAGCTGTTTAAAGCATTTTAAAGATTGGCATGAGGTTAAATTTTTATACTTTTTATCGCCAAGTACGTAAATAATCCAACTATAAACTGCAGAATAAGCAGTTTACCCCTAACCTTAAAAATATTTTCTAAAAATTAGTTTTCTGTTGATACACATGCTGAAGAAAATTGAAATATGGGATGTATAAATTTATTTTCACACTTTTTATCGCTTAATACGATTATAATCTTTCTTTGACGGCAATTCTTCGTTAACCTATAAAACTTTGCATAAATCCAATAAAAATGAGGTTCAAATCAAATGTTAAAAGTATTTTTTATATAGTAGTTATTACTAGGGATGGGATTTTGATTATTTTACCTTTTTTCAGCCGATGTAACTATTTGAAAATAATGCCAAAATGTGTTTTAAAAGATTTTCTTTTATATGAACCTAACTTGTTTTCACCTTTTTTACCTTTTTTGGAGGTTTTTGCTTTAAACTACCTTTTTTATACTTTTGTTACCTATTTTTTTAACTTGTTTTCACCTTTTTTACCTTTTTTGTAGGTTTTTGCTTTAAACTACCTTTTTATACCTTTTCTTTTATATGAACCTAACTTGTTTTCACCTTTTTTACCTTTTTTGTAGGTTTTTGCTTTAAACTACCTTTTTATACTTTTGTTACATATTTTTTAATTTGTCAGTTTATTTTCACCTATTTGTTACCTATTTTTACGTATTTTTACTTATTTTATTTTTTTCTGCTCTTTTTAAATTTTGCTCCAATATTTTATCCAGGGCGTGCAACTCAACGGTATAGAATTTTTTCTTATGGTCACAGACTGTAACAGTAACTTTCTTTACAGTTACCTTTTTTGTAGTGAGCTTATGTTCTGTCATAGAACTTCTGTGTAGTGAGTGTCACTCAGTGAAACACAGTTTATTGCATATAAATAGTTTATTGTGGGTATGTTCTGTTTTTGGGTATGCGGCTAAACAAAATTATAAACGAAACTTGAACTTTTAATGTTTTTTTTTACCTAAAATGCTTTTTTTAGTACCTTTTTAGTTACCTATTTTTCAGTTTTTAGTACCTAAATATCCCATCTTTAGTTATAACATAAGAATATGCTAAAATTGTAATAATCTACATCTACCGATAATTAAATTCGTACCAAAAATAATATTCTTTTGTGGTATTACCAAATAAAAATGTACTCTTAAAATAGAATTCGAATGCTCCAAATGGCTCCGAATTTAATTATCGTTAGAATCTGATGTAGATAATTACAAATTCAGCATATTGTTATGTAATAACTACTATATTGTAAATATTTTAAACGTATCATTTAAACCTCATTTTTATTGCACTGAAAAAAAATATTCTTGATTCAAAACAATCTTTGTCTCATATATAACGAAGAGAATATATTCTTTAAAATAGTAAAGTATTTTCTTAATTCACGTTGATTTACTTCAAGAATCTTTTCTTAATGTTCTTACATTAAGAAAAGATTTTTGAAGTAAATCAACGTGAATTAAGAAAATACTTTACTATTTTAAAGAATATATTCTCTTCGTTATATATGAGACAAAGATTGTTTTGAATCAAGAATATTTCTTTTCAGTGTGCATACATGCAAAGTTTTTTAGGTTAACAAAGAACTGCCATCAAAGATCATAAACATTTTTAACGATAAAAGTGTGGAAATAAATCTATAAATCCCTTATTTCAATTTTCTTTAGCGTCTTTATACTGAAGAAAACTAATTTGTAGAGAATATTTTTAAGGTTAGGGGTAAACTGCTTTGTGTGTAGTAAATAGTTGGATTATTTACGTACCTACTTGGCGATAAAAAATATAAAAATGTAACCTTATGCCAATCTTTAAAATGCTTTAAACAGCTGTAAAGAAGGTAAAAATACATTTTTTGAGAGTTCTTTTAGGTTAGAAACGTACAGTTTTATGTCGACTCTGAGGTAAGGCCATATTTATATTAGGCAATGACAAAAAACAAATTCTAAACCATCTATCAAAAATGCATTAAGCAGGAGTAAATTACGAGAAACTGCTTTTTAAGTTTTTTTTTTGAGGTTAGGGGCGAACCATTGTGTAATCAGCGGTAAAAAATACTTGTTTTGGCATATTCGTGATCGTCTAGTTAATTTACTTACTTTATAGAAATTAGGACTCTACGTTGTGTATTTAAGTACATTGATAATAACGTTATTTTGAAATTGGTCAGGTTTAATGAAACACAAGTATTTAATTTGAAACCCCTGATTTAATTTAAGCAAAGACAAAGGGGTGGCCCGTTGAGTCAGAGCACAGGGAAAAGGGACCATAAAAACCCTGGCGACTTACACAGTTCAAATAAAAATAAATTACAAAAGCAAACATAGTCATATGGGTCATAATCACAAGAATACAGTAGAAATAATAAGTGAATAAAATAACATAAAAAGCAGATAAACATATTTCATTTGATTTGGGTATTTTATCAATATTCTAAACATTTTATACTCAGGTAAAGTCATTCTTAGAGATTGTCATTTTATGACAAAGATTCGTACTATTTGATTACCTTACCACGCATCTTCGAACTATTGTACGATGATACGATTTTATAAAATAATAATAATAATAATAATAAACGAACAGCAACTACAACTTTCATATAGAGAGAATTCGAATGCTAAATAGGATAGGAACGCGGGGAATTATTGATATAATGCAGATATTACCCGTAGCTACACAGTAAAAAAAGATGCTTTCAGTCAAATACTGTAGGTTTAAACCAAAGCATTCATTGTTTTAAATAGCCACAAATAAATCATCTATTAGACTCAAGATAAGTTTATATTTGTAATTTAAATATATCATGATCTTAGAAAAAGTAAATGCGCGCTTTAAATTAAATGCATGTTATGACTTAGTTTAAAACTAATATATTCTTAAATGGAAAAGTTGGGCTTCTTTATGTAAATATATAATGCCTTTGTCGTAAGTATTGGATATTTTTTAGAGAAAACTACGATATACTTAATTTAAAAATATATTAAATTTGACGCAAAAATAATGTTTTTTGGTTAAAATTTAACATATGGTTGATTTAAATGTATAATATTTTTGTTGGAAGAAATTCATGCTTTCAAATTAAGGCAACGATGTGTTTAATTTAAATAATTTTTATACTTACTTTAAGGTCAAATTTAGATTTAAAGCAAAAATGTAATATTTTTTAATAAATCCTTTTAT